CATCTTGCCAGACCCCCTTTCCTCAGGCCCTCGCAAAGCCAATTACACAAGTCTGTTCTGTTCTGGGCATCTTGCCAGACCCCCTTTTCTCAGGCCCTCGCAAAGTCAATTACACAAGTCTTTTGCATGCATTTTCATTGGTAGATGGCATATCTTTCCCCCACTCAAAACGCGATGTCCCCATCACGCGACTAGTTCTCACTCGGAGGTACGCAGACCTTTGGCCCACCAACCGCAGTCAAGGACACAAGCCCGCCCGCTTTACAAAAGGAAGAGTGATCAGTTCCTCCCCAGCGAACGACGCCTCATCCTCCTACTCGGTCCGACCTTTCTTCTCTTTCGTGGAGAGCACCAACACTGAGGTTCCTCCTCATACCTGACAGGCAGGTCCAGTCCAAACCTCCCAGGGCCTCGTCTCGTAAGAGCTTTCCTCGCGAATCGTTCCTCCCGAGTGGTGATTTTCTGGATCCGGCCTCTTCCTTTCAAGAGAGTTGGGGCTCTCTATTAGTCCGCGAGTGCAATTACGAAGACCTCGCAATTAGTCCCGAAACGGTTATAATGTTCCGGCAGGGCAGTGTCAATGCCCCGTGGTGGTGGCGGCCTCCACCCGGTACCTCGCCAGCCTCTCCCCTTGGACAGTGCCACCCAACTTAACGCGGGCAGCCAAGGTCCGACCCAAACGGCCATGTCAACCCTCTATGGTATGACGTGTGGTTGGAGAGTAGCAAAATAGACTAGAATAAGAATGACTCTCTCGCCCATTTGGTTCTCTCACCCTTTGACGTTTAGGCTCTCAACATGAGGCGCAATTTGAACTCCCCAACTAGAGCTCATTGTCGGGGTCAGTTCCAGACGTCCCGCACCGATCCAAGTGGTTGGTGCCTTGGTCCTTTAACCCTCATCCCCTTATAAGAGGAACAAGTCGCGCTGAGACTTTTCCCTTTAAGGAATAGAGGTTTTGAGGTCGCGGTGCAAGCATCGGTATCCCCCTCTTGCTGAGGCCAAGGACTAGAAGAAAAAAGAAATTCATTTCAATGCTATTTCCAAGTCCATTTCAAGTTGCCTAGGGTCCCCTGTTTATGCAATGCAATTTCCAGTGCTCATTCCAATTCCAATGCTCAATCCAAGTCCAATGCTCAAGCCCATTCCAAGGCTCAATCCAATTCCAATGCTCAATCCAAGTCCAATGCTCAGTCCGATTCCAAGGCTCAATCCCATTCCAAGACTCAATCCAATTCCAATGCTCAGTCCGATTCCAATGCTAAATCCAATTCCAAGGCTCAATCTCATTCCAAGACTCAATCCAATTCCAAGACTCAATCCAATTTCAATGCTCAGTCCGATTCCAATGCTCAATCCAGTATCTCTTCCAAGACTGAGTCCAATATCTTTTCCAAGGCTCAACTCAAACTCTTTTGCAAGGCTCAACTCAATCTCTTTTCCAAGACTCAGCTCATCTCAACCTCGACCATCTCAAGCAATCATGCAAGGGGACCCCAGTGCCAATTCCAAAGAATGACCCTTGTCAGGGGCCATTCCGAACAAGCTAGTTAGGTTCGTTCTTTCCAATTCCAAGTCGAACAGCCTGGTTAGGGTCATTCTTATCCATTTCAATCGGACAGCCTGGCTAGGGCCGTCCTTATCCATTTCAATCGGACAGCTTGGTTAGGGTCATCCTTATCCATTTCAATTGGACAGCCTGGCTAGGGCCGTCCTTATCCATTTCAATGTTAGCGGCCGAGGGGGTGGGCCTCGAGGACATGGATCCTATCTCTGTCTCGGAGGTTAGAAGGTGGTCATCTCTTGTGTTTTACGCATGCCTTTGCCTTTCGTGTCGTGCCGTTCACCATTCTCATGTCCATACATACACCCGACTTAGCGTCTAGTGCTCAATTTGAGGCTCACAACCCCAAGCAACACTAGCCCGCCCGACCGTTCAACCATTGCGGAGATTGTTTGCTCAACCAATGTTTTCCTCTTTCTGACCTCTCATGCATTTTACTGCTCTGGACTTTCCCGGGATAGGTTGGATTAGGCTCCTAGGGAAGAGGGTTCTTCATGCCTCTTTACCGATAGGTCCCCTAATCTCTCACAGAAACCCATACCATAACTCATTCAACCAGGGTTGCACTTTTATTAAAAGAACAACTCTTTGTCATAAACTTTTCGTCCATCTCAACAATCCACACGCTCTTGCCTTTTCCCAAAACGGAGTTAACCTTTCCCAGTCCATCTCTCACCATCAAGGATCCCCGTATTCCCAAGGGAGCAAGTAGTTATGCAAAGTAGCACTGGCTACCCAGTCCCTGTTTTACTTTCCTAGTTCAAAGAGCAGTTCCATCACAGTTTTCTCAAAAAGAAAACGACAAATTCGAATGCGAAAGCAACATTACAGACTTGTCTTATCCAGACCCTCCACTTTCTTCCCTTCACTTCCAAACTCAGTGTTTCATAGTCCTAGTCTCAAGCTCATCGACCCACATGTCCTTCTGAAGAAGCAACTACTTATGAAAAGTAGCACTAGTTACCCAGTTTTTGGTCAGTCTAAACAGAAAGTTGTCCCATTATAGTCCATTCTCAGAAAATTCAAATGCGAAATTCAAAATGGCAGTCCTGCCTGCCCAGGTACCAGTCCTTCCCAATTTCTAACTAATCCCTGCCATATCTACTATCCCTTTATTGCCCAGTCATCCTGTGTCGGGCCTCCCTTGCACGATCATCGATCTCTTGTTGCATCTTTCTCTTTATCCTCTGTAGGCCAAGGAGTTTTTCTTCTGTGAAGAAGGTTGTGGGCGTTATGTCTTCTCCTCTACTCAACTTTTCTTTCCCTCTCATCGCCCAGTCGTACCGCAAAATACTGGCCCATTGATCGAACCAGTCGCTTAAAGTCGGTCCAAATTCCCTTATCCACTTGTCATTTTCTTCCCCCGGGTCCTCCTCTCTTCCCCGTACTTCTCTTGTGGGTGTTGTAACTTCATCTTCTTCCTCCTCACTGCTGAGGTCTATGACCTCGATGGGCTCTTCCTCTTCCACTCTCTGCCTTTTCCCTAGGCGCCCCTCCTCCTCACTAGTAGTGTCACTATCAGATGGGAGAACTATCGACTCCCCCTCTCTCAGTGGTGATGGCCCCCGAGTCCCTTGCTTTCTCCCCCCTCTGTTCACAACCAAATTATGGTCAAATCCCACATACAACTTCCTCTTTCTGGAGCTTGACTCTCCAACCTGTCTTGTCGGTTGATCCTCATTAGGCCTGTTGATAGCGTTGCTGTCATCGTTCCCAAACTCCATCTTTATTATTTCTTGCTGTTTTCTTCTTTCCTGGTCCTGTCCATACATAACAGTCATGACATCCCCTCATACGCACACATACTCCCTTCCACGCCCTCTTGCAGAATTGAAGGCTTCCCTAGAACCCTTGCTTGCCCCCATATAATTGGTAGTCCCATTATCCCTCAGGACCCTTGGCACATCGTCCCGACACGTAGGTACCCCATGCAGACAGTCCCCAGAATTGCCCCACAAAAACTATGGTACATTGTCCCATGCTTCCATCCTCATTCATATTCAGCCTAGGCAGTCATCCCATGCCCCAAGGGAAAGAACACACAAGGACGAACAATTCCCTGCAATCATGATCACTTCTGCAGGGGGGCGGTATAGAATCATAGCCAGCTACCTATCTTTCAGGTTGTCAATTCCCTTGTTTCCATGTCTTGAGCCTCATGTAACCATTGCTCCACTGGATCCCTGCTAAAAAACCTGACCAGCCTCTGTCCCGGAAATGACCCTTTTATCGTAGTGCCATCAAAATCCTCGAGCTCAAACGTGTTCAGTCCCACCCTTTTGACAATCTTGTAGGGATCTTTGAACCTTCTTCCCAACAGTCCAGACCACGTACTTTCAAGAGATGAGTTCCTAGCCAGTACCTTTTCTCCCACCTGGAGCGGCTCCTTTCAGATATTCTTTACCTGATCCCACCTTGCTTTGTCCCTCATTCGACTATCCATTACTCGTTTAACCACCTCTTCCAAGGCTTCCTTATTTCTCACGACCTGTTGGCAACGTGCAGCAATTAGTTCTTCCGTAGACATGTGCGGATTGTCATCTAGCCTGTTCCAGGTAGGAAACAGGACGTCCACAGGAAAATCGATCTCCCTCCCATACCAGAGTTCTGTCGGAATGCACCCCGTCGTCCTTTTCGGTGTCATGTTCTCAGAGAAGACCGCCTGCTTAAGGTATCTAGGCCAGTTCCCCAGGTCATCCGCCGCCAACTTAGCGATTGTGTTTTTCAAGGTCCGGTGTCCCCTTTCTACTGGTGCATTGGCCTCAGGGTGATACGGTTCGATGATCTTGATAGGTACGCACAACGCCTTAAGCCTGCCCAACACTTCCTGGTTGACGAACTCCGTCTCATTGTCCGCTATGAACCTGCGCACAAAGGGGTGCCTAAGGTAGAAGTCTTCTACCCAATCGGCCACTATCTTTCCTGTCTTTCTCTTAAGAACTACCGCCTTTACGTAACCGCTGAGGTTATCTCTTGCATCCAAGATGTACCTATATCCATCCGTCGATACAAGCATGACCGCAAGGTCAAGGTGGACCAGGTGCCCCGACCCCAGTACCCGGGTAGGTCTAAGGGGCTCGAAGACACGTGCGGAACTCCTTTCTTGGCATATCAAACACATTTGACAGTACGCTGACACCATATCTGTCATACCTGGCCAGAAGTAAAGTGGCGCGATTTTTGCAAGAGTCCCTTTGGACGACCGGTGCCCTTCGGCTGCCCATCATGCATTGCCTGGATTATGTCCTACTGCCTAGACCTTCCGTATACAACATGCCTAGGCATCATTCCTTCTGCTTTCTTGAACAGGTGACCGTGCCTTAAAACATACTTCTCGGCTTCCTCCCTTGCTTTGGGGCTGACTTCCATAGGCTGCTTGTTTCCTATAAGCAGCAGACCGATTTCTCTAAAGATGCCATCATACATCTGGATAAGGAAGAATTATCGTCCCTTCTGATCGGTGTCTTGCTCCTCCTGAGCCTGATTCACTAGATACTGCCGCTCTCTTCGCGTCCAAGTTTCTACTAGATTCATCACAACATCCCGACCCCCTTCGACGACCATTGCCATCAGCTCCTCCTTTGGCCCAATCGGTGCTCCCCACGAATCCTTCTCATCCTTGCGTCTAATCGTGGTGACTGGTCCTTCCCTGAGTTCTGCAGCTACCGCAGGCGCGCCCTTCTCCAGTGTCTGAATCAAAAATTGATCCATTGTAGGAGCGGTATCTGCCATCTCGTTATCTACGACAAGGGTCCCTCCTTCGTATTCTAGGAAGGCGTCGATTGGTTCCTCATCCTCTACTTCCTCTGGCGTAATGCAAACCCGACTTAGTCCAGCTGCCCTGTTTCGGAGCCCCGCAATTCGTTCGACCTTGTAGTCGAATTGCCATATGAAGCCTATCCATCTCCCAACGGTCAGGTTTATAGGCTTATAATTCTTTAATGCCCCGGCGACATTGGTTGGATCGATTCTCAGGATAAACCGTCTCCCGAATAGGTATGCCTGAAAAGTCTTAAGGCAATGTAGAATGGCTAAAACCTCTTTCTTGAACTGTGAGTATCGCCGCTCTGCCAAATTCAGGGTCCTGCTCTCAAATCTGATAGGCCTCTCCTTGCCTTCCTCACTTCTCTGTATCAGTACTCCCCCTACTGCCAAGGGTCCTCCGTCCATTTCTAGGATAAAGGGTCGTCCTACTTCGTCATTGAAGCAAGGTGCTGCCAAGGTGACTTGATCGGAAGTCAGGATATCTTTGAGAGTCTGGACTGTCGCCTCCCTATCCTCAGTCCATTCCATAGTCCCTCCTTCCCTAATCATTGCACGGATAGGTTCTGCTATCTTTGCGAACCCTTTGATAAAGATCCTCCAGAATCCGACTACCCCTAGGAAGGCTCGTACCTACGTTGTGGTGCGCAGAGGAGTCGGTCATTGAGAGATCTTATCCGTCTTTGTCGGGTTGGGTTTCCTCTCATAGGCCCCACAGCGAAATCCTAGTATGGTCACTTCTGGAACTGCCAGAATTCTTTTTGGTCCACTTGCGGTGATATTATATACCAGGAATCGCTAAAGTAGGTCCTTGATATCCTGAAGGTGATCCCAAATGAACTTTCGTATGCCCGGCTGGACCTCTGTCTCATCCTTGTTCTGCGCGCCTTTTATGGGATTATCGTCTATGTAGGGCTCGCATTTTTCCGGAAACATGTCCCCTGTGACCGCAAACATCCTCCTTTGCGCTTCTGCCACAGCGTTTGTGAAACCCATAGGGGTCACTTGCATCTGCAATTGTCCTACAGGGGTGTGCATGGCGGTATACGGTCTATCTCTCGCATCGAGCGGCAGTTGGTCGTATCCTGAGTACAGATCTATCAGGGAGTAAATGCTTCGTCCGGCATGAGACTCTGCCAATAGGTCAGCTTGTGGAAGCAATCCCACATCTCGAATTATTACTGCGTTCAGCTTCTGCAAGTCTTGAATCCATCTGAGCGATTTATTGGGTTTCCGAAAAACGAACCACCTGTTCGCGTAGGGGGATACAGTGGATTCGGCCACGAACGAATCTATCTTGGCACTGAGCAATTCAGTGACTTCCGCAGCTATTCCAAACTCGTAGGCGGACCCCTTGTCATTCCAGCATTCGTGTTCCACCGTGTGGATCCTAACAGGGGAAATCAGCTTCGCATTCAATCGACCTTTCTGGTGGTTATTGAAGGCGAAGGCTAGGTGAAATTCGTGGCACGCCTTCCTTATCAACTGTCTCTTCCGTCGTTGGGAACCCTTCTACCCCTATCTTCATGGTATCCGCTATCTCATCAGGTATCCGGTGCCCTTCCGCTGCTCGTCTCTCCCTTATTATCCGGAGGATTTCTTCCTCCTTTTCCATGGCCTCTTCCCTTGATGTTTCTACTAGGATTGAGACCGGCTTGGCTTTCTTCCCTACGGGTTTGTACTTTCGCACACTCCCTTCTGGGATCGTTCTCCTAAAATATGAACGGTCGGGATTGGCCTTGCTACCTCCATGATACGGGGCTGGATACTGACTAACTTGTCATTCAGACAGTAGCACTTTCAGACCTCTTCGAATTTGGCAAGCGTTCCCGGGTCCACTCCTACTTTGTGGTACTTGATAGCCTTAACGAGCTGTAGCAAGTCTTGGATTTCGAGTACTACCTCCGACGCTTCCTTCCGGTCTTTCTTTGTTTTGGGCAAGCTGGCCCCAAACTCGACTTCTGCCTCCTTCTCTGCCACCATAACCCCTAGCACCTCATCCTCTTGCCTCCTCTTCTTCAGAGGCAGACCCATCTTGATCCACTCCTTCTTACTAAACGCCTCCTCAATCATGATCTTTACTCTTTCCCTCATGCCTTCCATCCGTGCGAATGCCCCCCTTCTCGCGCTCTCCTCGAACGTCGGCGACCAAGTCGCCAACTTGCCCTTCGGAGGATCCCCTCCGGTCCCAAGGAGTCGGAGGAGTTCTCCACGGCCAGTCACAGGGTCCTCTATATCCACCATGTATGTGTCATCATGCAGATGCATACCTATCATCTCTACATTGGCGCACCACGGTCTTCCGAAAATTATGTCATGGTTCATTTCTTCCATCACGGTCATCCGCTGGAAGGACCAGATTGATTCCCTGATCCCCGCCCTGACCGCGCATTTTGTAACGTACCCTGCAAAGGGAATTTCCCCGCCCGCTCCCCGGATACTCCCCGTCACTTCCTTGTTTACAGTGCAACCCGTAATTGCTGCGAAGTCTCGTCGTATGAGGGTAATCTCAGCCCTACTATCCACTAATGCATCTGTGTGGTGGGTTCCGATCTGGACTTTTAGCTTTCCTACGGGCAGTGCATGGAAGCTAAGCTTCGTCCCGGGTGGTGCCCTCATGACTTCACCACCCTCTCGGTCCGGTAGGCTTAGACGGATATCTGCAAAGGCTTTCTCCAGGTCCTCTAGATCCCCTGGAACCCTCTGGAGGTTGGAGACCCCTTGGGGTGCCTCAGCCTCTTCCGTTTCCTGCTAGTGTGGTTCCAGGGCCTCCTCCACCACTACGCGTCAGCGCGTTAGTAGTTGCCTGAGTCCCTTAAGCAGTCTCGGGCTTGCTTGCAACATGGTCTGGAAAGATACAGATACCATGGTACCAAGCAATTTGCTCAGGGTGTCGTCGATTTCCGGCGAGGTCAAGATGAGGATTTGATACCTGAATTTCTTCTTGGCCGCCACTGCTTTGTCTATCGGCTCCTCTTCCCTTGTCTTTCCATAAACCTTCTCCTGTTCCCCGGTCTCGGCTTCATCTTGATCTGCGCTCGTCCCTGCGACCTCTTCCATTACTACGTCTCGAATAAGCTTCTTTTCCGCACCGGCCCGTCGGGTGGTGATGTTTACCCTATCCTGCCCATGGCCTTCTAGGATGAAATTGGTCTGTGGTCCCCGTCCCCTCGGTTGGTCCCAGACAATATCGGCTACCGGCTCTGCTTCTACGGCGGCTATATCCAAGTTATTCAGGATGATGACGACACGCCGCATCCCTCCTAGCGAATTCCAATTTACTCGCTCTCCCTGGGGTCCGATAATCTCACCCTTAAGGGACCTGCTGCATCTTTGTCTTATGATATCATGGTTGAGTCTTGGGCAGGTCCGCACGAAATATTCGACCATTGTGCAATACTTGCATTGCTCATTGGCCGGATCCCTTCTGCCATACCCCCGATTCGCTACCGCTGCCGGAACTTCGGCCTCTTGGGGCGGGAGGGCGGGTCGGGACACCTGCGCCTGCATTACTAATAGCGCATTTTTCACTCTTTCTATCTTGCTGTCAACCTCGTGCACTCGTTCGTGCAGGCTCTCTATCCCCTTTTTGACCTTATCCCCCGTCTTCCCAGTCAAGTCTATAACCTCCCCTTCCTTAAGCAGGGCTAGCGTATCGGTCACCACTGTCTTTTCTGCGAGGTCTGTAACCGTGTTGAAGTCCACATCCCTAGTGTGCTCGAACTTGCTAGTCTGTTGGTAAGCTGACAGAAGCTTATCTTTGTCGAATTTGGAGAACTGCCTGAGAAAATACTTACTCATTATCCGATCTGTTACCCCGGGGATTCGTAGCGCGACTAGGGTAAACGCCCTTAGGAAGTCGTTGTAAGTCGCATAGTTTTTCCTTTGGACTGCCGCCAACTCGGCTTCTGTTGCCATCTTCTCCGCTTTTAGGTACTTCCTCATCATCTCGTTCCTGGTTTCCTTCCAGGATCCACTAGTGGCGACGATGGTCATAATGTCTCTACCCAGACTCAGTGACACATGCTGCCCCAAATGGTCCATCTTCTCTTCCTCACTCCATTTCAACAAGGCTGTAAGGTTCTCATAGTCTGTCAGGAACTCCGTAATGTTCGCCCCATCAAAATTGAGTTTCTTCTTGGCATCGGCCAGATACCCCTGATTCTTATTCAGAGCCCGGGTGAGGGTAGCTACTATTTTCTTAAGACCTCCCTCAGAGCTACCTGCTTCACCAGCCGGACTAGTCCCTTCTCCTTCTTTGCTATCCCCCTGCTTTTCCCCAGCCTTTGTCGTATCCTCAAGATCGAACCATCCTAAAGCCCTTTCTCTGAGACTCCAAAATCCGTCGCAACCCTTTGCTATTTTCGGTGTGGCGGGCAGGCGGCTAGTCCCGCTGTCCATAGCAGGCGAGGTCGTAGCCTTTTCTGCTTCCACAGCCGGAGCGTCCCCCTTTTCCTTCCCTTTCTTGCTGGGCGTCCCCTTACGGTTGTTATCCTTCCCTCCGTGCCTGATTTCGCCCTGGCTGATCCTGCGTTCTTCTCGTGACCCTTCACCCAGGGAGTCCCTTTCATTCCCCGCCATCATTTCCTTCATAAGCCTCGCTTTATATTCTGCGGTTCGTTTTTCTATCTCTGCCAGCTTACGGCGGGCGTCCGAGACCTTCGTTTTCTTGGGCGTAGTCCCTTCTGAGTTTCGAGGGCTCGATCTTCCATTGTCCCTTCCTTCCCTGTTTTCCTGAGGTCCTTTTTTGCTACCCCCGGCTTTTCCCGAACTTTCACCTGTCGAACGATCCTTCTCGTCTTCCTTGGTTCCCTGTGGTTTCGCCGACTCTCGATCCTTTACTGGTGCTTCGTTTTGTTTTGTACCCCTACCCGTGCCCTGACTTCCTTTGCTTTGCAGTTCCTCAGCCTCTCCTTCTGACGCCATCCCTTTACCTACCCTGCACATGGAGAATTTTTTTTTTGCGAAACGGCCGGCCGTTCATGGCTTCCCTCGTTTCCGGGCCCTAAGGTCCCCTTTTTCTTACTTATTTTCATGTTTCGGCGTCTTATATTAGTCGGGACAATCCTCCTGACTTTTCTCTTACAGGGTGCCGCTCGGTCTTTCTTCTGCCGGTAGGCTCGCTGCCGAGGCTTGGCATCTTGTCACTACCCTACCCCGGTTCCTTGGGGTGGTGTCTGAGGCTAGTGGCCCCCCTTCGAGGGTAGCCCTTTTGACTCTCTGACACTCGGGTGCCCCAGCGTCCTTCAACATGGGTAGTCTTCCCAATTCCCTCCTGCCGCGACCTTAGGTAGGGCGGAACTCCGACCACTACTCCCTTGCTGATGGCTAGCTTCTCATTCTGGTTTTCCACCTTTTACTCTTTTTCGGGTATTTTTTCCTCACGCCGGTCCCTCGGGTCTGGCCCGCTCCTCCGGTTCTTCGAACAGATCGGCCACCCCCGCAAGATAGTTTTCTCCCATCTCTATTTCCCTGATAATTATTGGTTCATATTCCTCAAACGACAAGCGAGGCAATCCGAATATCAGGATTTTGATAAATTCAAGTAGTTCACGGGCTAAGTTTCCCCAAAACGGTCCGTGCCTGACTGACACATCGTAAAACATCCCCGTCGTCTACGGATGAAAATAGTGGTTCCATACTAAAGTTGATTCCACCAGGCTTCTTGCGCTTGAGAGGCTGCCGAATACCAAGTCCACCATGAAGCGAAGCACTCGGCACCGCAGTCCCGTCATCGGGGCCTTAAACTCTCGCCATCCTCCTACCTCCACCCGGGTTCTCAGCCCCACGTTCCTTCTTCCTCGCACCTCCTGGCCTATCCGGTCCACTATCCTGGTAGCCCTTTGGAAGATTGGTAACAGCCCATGCCCTAGTGCCAATTCCGTTCCTAGCAGGTGTCATCCGACCTCCGGTAGGTATACGGTTCCTGTTACCTTCAGGTCGATATACAGGTCATCCCCTCGTCCCCTATCGAACCTCATACCACTCCACAAACATTCTACCATCATAAATGCCTGGTCCCTTCCCAAAGTCACAGCTCTCCATTCAGTGTCAATTCCTCGGACCATGTAGCTTGCCGGGAGCGATACCTCCCATCCGCCTCCACATTCGGTGGGCGGTCGAGGGTGCGTGGGCCGTTGCGACATCCGGGCGCGTCTCACCGCCATCGTTGATTAGCAGTCCCCTGCACAGTTTAAACAGCAAGCGGGCTTACTTATTTTCATCCATTCTTTAGCCTTACCCGGGTAACGCCCTGGTCCTTAATTTTGATACTTCTTTTCCTCTCTATCCCTCCCTCTTTTCCTTGCCTCTCCTACCGTTCTGTCTCTACTTCCATTGGCTCATACAAGCAGTACAGGTCATCTACGTAAGTCATTCCCCGACTTATCTCTCGTCGAACAACGCCCCATAGGACCTCATCGCTAACAATAGGAGCTCTTGGCCTGGTGGTAAACACAGCACGCGGGATCCGCAGCACCTCATACCTTTGTTCGTTGTTGAATGACCCCATTTCTAGAAAGGCCCGATAATACTCTCGGTGAACCATTGCGTCCTCAAACGCCAGGTTGGCGAGGTCGACCACGACCCTCCTGACAGGCTCCACCCCGCCTAACCTTTCCAGCAAGAATGGCGGCAATCTCATCCGAACGTTTTCACTGGGCAACTCGAAGCTTCCGGCCATGGCTACTCTAAGGTTGGCGGTCACGTCATTCCGGGTCTGCGAATTCGAACCCCGCCTGCCACACTAGTTGCCATGCCCCCTCGAACATACTTAACAGATCTTCCCCTGATGCCAACAGGACTCCGAACGCCCGCCACCCGTCTTCTGACACATGCAACCGACCCTCCGCACGCACATGTCCCCGTGGGTCCGGGTTCCATTCCCCGTTTTCATCCGCACGCCACTCAATTCTCGTTACTAAGGAAACCGTGTTTTTCATGAGCTCTACCCCAACCCAATCCACCACCGGGCGCCAGCCCTCGCTCGCGGCCGGCAGGCTAATTTCCACCCCGCCAGCCACATCCCTTGGCGGTTCAATGCCCAGAGGGCGATCCTCAAGGAACGTCATTCTTCGTGCCATCACGCGCCTGTCCTTGGGCTCCTCGCTCCGCGGTTTGCAACAAACCCTACAATGGTCAGACATCCCATTCCTTGTTTCAGTATTTTCCCCATACTTGCCTGGCCCGTGGCTTCCCCTGCTCCTTAGTCGAACCACGATACTTCGAACAACTTAAACACATCATCCACATAGCAGGGTGTCGCCGCTACCTCCCGACGGATTATGGCATCCCTTATTTCCGGGGCTACCTCTAGTTGGTCATACCTATCCATATTCAAAATGATGAGGACCTCCCAGACTCTATCGCCATGGAAAGGCCCGTACTTCAATGATGTTTTGTAAAACTCTTCTGACAGCCAGGTATAGTCTATGTGTATCCGTTCCATAGTGTCTGTCACTTCCGCGACATGGTCAAAGCCCCCAAACCAGTCTACTATGAACTTGGGGACCCAGATCCTCTTTCGCAGGCAGGGTGGCCATAATTCTTTCCATCCCCCCATTATGACCTTGCTGCGGACTCATCCCATCCCTTGTTGGCAAACCTTTCACTCGCCTTCCGCGGCCTTGTCTCCGCACCCTCTAGGAGCCGTATCGGATTTTGTCCCGCTGTAAGCGTGGTGCAGAACAGATGTCACCCTTGTTCCGACAAGACTACCTTCCCAACCGATTCTACCTTCCCTTCTGCGATATCTTCCCATCCATCTTCCTCCCTAATGGGGTTCCAACATGTACGATAATTCTGGCGCGATCTCGAGCCCGACCCTGTCACACGTCGCTCCTCTCCACTCATATTCTGCTGGTAAGGGCATCTCTACCCCCCCTCCAATCCGCCTTGGTTCCCATCCCTTGAATGTGCAATCCCTCAACTAGAGCTCTCGGGCCATCGTTCCCTACCTGCACATGGCCGACATCCCATTCCCCAGGTAAGCCCCTTCTTTTTTTCAGAAGTCTCAATCCTCCATCTCATCTTCATCCTCATTATCGCTGAAATCCTCCTCCCCATCAAAGAACAGCCCTTTCAGCCCTTCTAGGAAGGTCTCCCCTACTGCCACACTTCGATAGATTATCTGCCAATGCACTGAACTAGGTACAAAGGCATCATCCGAGCTGAGAAGGTTTAATACCTCTGCTAACTCCTCCGCCAAGTTCCCTCCGAACGGCCCCATTTCCACCGACAGCCTAAAGAAGTCATGTCGAGCACACTGGTACAGCCTCAACTGTGTCATCGACTGGCATATCTGTTCCAACCTGCCCCGGGTTCCAAAGACTGCGTCCACCAGGAACGGGGGTAGCACGCACCTCATCGTTCTAAGAGGCCGCCTCACATTTTCCCTATCCCCGGGCTCCACTCGCACCCCTATCTTATCCATTTCCAATTTCGCCCGCTGACACGCCGCCCATACCACTTCTCGTTCCGCTTGTTTAAACAGTGAATCTGGCGTCGTTCCCAGTACTAGTTCTACTACCATTGCGTTTTTCATCTCTTGGGATAAGTAGACCCACCCTCGGGCTTCCACCGTCCCCCGGAATTCTAAGTCCATTAAGCTCGGTGACAGTCTCGTCAAGCTAACCTTGGTCCAGATAGTCTCTCTCCAGAGGAACGCGTCCTTCTCGTCCAGCATCACAGCTTGGTAGGCTGGTTCCAGGTCTGTCCACGTTCCTTCTTCCGGGAGGACGACTGATACCCCCTCCTTAACATCTATTAGTATTTCCAGACTACTAGAATAGGTAGGAGATGAGAACCACCGCGTCATTCCGTTTTTCGGCTCCGGTCCTGTTTCCACAAGAGAGCACCACACGGCCCCTTCTTGGTCAGACCGTCTCCCTGTCTAGATGAGAACAGTTTACAGACCCCTCATCTGGGTCTCCCTAACCTTTTCTTCCCATTTCCCAGATGTCGTTGCCCCGTCGTACCCCTAATCGGTCACCATCAGCCGGCATTCCTTTCTCTTGGTTTCATTTCCTTCCGACTCCTATTCATGCTTACCCACATCTTCTCTTACTCGTGCAGACTTAGGCACGGGCGAGAATAGACATAGAAGCTCATTCCCCTTCCCAACATACTCAAGTAATCTTTACAGAGGAGGGCACAAAAAAAGGAAAAAGTCAGGCAAACGCCACACACAGGTCGGTCATCTCCTCACCGGCCTTTTCCCAAAAGTGGTCTCTCCAGTGTTACTATCGGCATAGTTTTATCCCGTACCTGAAGCACAGCTCAACCGTTGTGAGCGAGGTACCCAGACTCCAGTGGGGGGTCGCCCTCACCTTCTTGCCCAGAATACCCCATCCCGTATTGCCGCTTTTGCTCATCCATACCGACACCGAGGGTTACCCCGTGTGCCTAAATACAGGGAGAAAAGTCAGTCGTTCGGGCATTCACTTCCATCGGTCCGATAAGGAACAACCTTTCCCAAACCAAGCTACGAGAAGCTATTAATCGTCCCCGAGACTCCGTCTGTGCCCGCATGTAGTGGTGCTCCCTCCGCCAGCCAACAGGCTAAGCCCCGCCTGAGGAGATTTCACACCCCGTCCGACAGATCATTGAGCAAAGCTCATCACCGCTCGAACGAGAATGCTACTAATCAACCGACGTGACAAACTCCCGTCCGACAGCTCGGTGGCCTGACCCCCACACACGAACCCACGGCAGCCTACAAAAAGGGAGCTACGTTTTGCAACCCGCACCGGCCGGTGCAGACCCCTCCTTTCCTTCCGAAAGGCAGGACGCTCAATATCCCCATCATCCAAACACAAGTCCCAAGCGGGACACACGTAGTACAAGTGTCTTTCCCTTGGTGCACCCAACGCTTCCTACCCATTGCTTACAATTTTCTCTCAGGACTGTGTATGCCACTCCCCTTAATTTTCATACACAGTGTCCAGTTCCTTTTCGTGAGCATCTTCAAAGGTGAGCTAGTCTTGTTTGGAGTCTAACAACTCCCTTCATTCCCTTATCTTCGCTTGTGTGTCTGTTCATAGGGCAGGATTGTTCCTTTTCGATTACCCGTTATGTTCATATGAGGTTCCTTCAAGCATTTCAAGTGTGGTGCAAGGAGCCCGCTGGGCTTCCGGAGAAGAGAGGAGAAGGCACCCATATCGGTCGGATCGCTCCGCCGAGGGATTTCATCGGAACCCGGACTAGCCCGGAATCTCAACCACCTGCCAGGTAACCGGAGCCCTTCTTTCACACGAAGAGGAAGGGTCGACCTGCGGCTTGCCCAAGGCTTCCCCTGCCTGACGAACATCAGCCCGAGGGAAGGAGGACTAGAGTCACCTCGCAAGGGAGATGGTTGATCATATGTGCAACATGCATGTTATACCTCCAGGCCTGGCCTTGCCACGCGCCCAGCCGCCCTCAAATCTGATTCTCTCAAGGGAGTAGAGCCTACACAAGTCATCATTTCTTGTCTTAATGTTGTCTTCGCGGACATGCGTCGGGCGCCCCCCTCGAGATCGTATGGGTCAGTTTAACCCATTACCCGATGCCTCCACCATTTTTGTAGGGGCTGTACCCTGAAGGACTTTCGAGCCTAAGTCGACACCACTGCGGGTCCCATTTGGCTCGACCCGCCCGCGCTCACGCTCAGGGCGTGGGTCGTTCGTCCCAGGGGCACCCCCACCTAGTGCTTTGAGATGGATGGGGATAACCATTTGCGAGAGGGCTTTACATTGGGGGATGTAGCTCCGCTCTCACGTTAGATGGTAGCTCTTTAATCACTCGTGGCGTTTTCTTGATTCATTTAAGTTTGACCAGACAATTGCTCCTTCCAATACGCAGACAATCCAGGGAATTTATTGAAAGTTCGTCTTCTTTCGTGTGTAGGTCAAGCGTCATCCATTGGACCACACACCTTTTCACTAAGCATCGCAATTCCTACGACATCATCGGGGTGCAGTCGCGCCGTCCATGCCCCTAGCCCCTACATTTTTTTTGCTTGACAGTCTTCCCATCCGCAAATACATTGTCGCCCTTAGTCTTTTCAAGCTTCCAGATTACACATAAAGAATCAAGATACACATTCGTCGCACAAGCCACGTTTCTTTCCCCAAGCGTACGATCTTCAAGTCCCACCCGCATTCATAGTTTATGCTAAGCCCATGTCCATCCCTTGTCGATTTTCTCATTCTTGCCTGTGTTCCGCGGATTCAGTCTCGCTCAAACCATCCTAAGCAACTCACCTGCGCAAGACCACACGAAACAAAGGCCAAGTATAATCCCCATTGGGGTCAACACAACGCCCCTCCCACAAGCCTAAGTTCTTTTCTCTTCCCATGGCCTATTTAGTTCCTTTTTTTTTTCTTTCAAGCAAGCCATGCCTCTTCCTTAGTCATGCAGTCGGGGAGAATGGTTGAGTCAAACTGACCTTGTCACAAAACTTCACTCTTTTTCGCTTTTTTACACGCTCACAACAACCCGGTGCTCTTTCCTTCTTGGTGGCACAAGGGACCGACAACCCTCCCCTTGCCCTCGCTTTCCACCAAGTGAGGATCAAGTTCTTTGTCGTTCGTTCCCTAGAAATGTAACAAGGGGAGAGGGGATAGTTAGTCATGTACCAAGGAGGGGAAGGGAGAAGGTGTGAGGTGGTCGGCCATAGTGGATGGGTGCGGATGATGGAGGTCGAAGAAGGTACGTGAAGGTTGGGTATGGTGGATGGGCGCGGGTGATGGAGGTGGAAGAAGGTAAGTGAGGGTTGGCTATGGTGGA